ACTTGCCTACCTGCTGGGAAGGGAAGGTGCAATCTTCCTAGCTGACGCCACCCACTTCCCTGACCCTTGCAGCTTCTTTTGTGCATCCTATGAACCCTCCCTGATTTGCAGCCTCCCATGAACTTTTCTTGACCTATGCATCCTCTGTGACCTGTACAGCACCTCTTACACGCTCCATGATCTCACACATCCTTGACTGGCACTGTGCCCATTCCTACCCAACCTAGACAGCACTTCTTGCACACCTCCATGCCCCCTTTCAGACCTCACTTGCATAGCATCTCCTGTGCACATCTGATCACCCTTCCTGATCAGAACAGCATCTCTTGGGCACCCCTGCGTATCATTTTTGACCCACACTCCTGGGCATCCCCTCGCTCTCACCCACCAGGTAGCAGCCACTTATCTGCCTGCTGGCCTTGGACAGGCAACTTACTGTTATCTTCCCCACTGCCTTTCTTCCCACAAGCTTCCTGCAAGCAAAGTTAATTAGGAAGCAATAGGATTTCTATGGAGGGAGATATGAAGGAAAAAAAAATACAATGACAGAAAGGAGGGGGAAAAGGAAGGGAGGGAGGGAGGAACTGCAAGGAAGGATTTCCAATGCTTCCTGCCAGTTTCCCATAAGGTCAGTGGGCAGGTGGGCAGGAAGTCAGAAGTTGCTCCCACTTCCACTGCTTTTTTGCCCACCTGTGGTCATTCTGATTTCTCTGTTTAGATAAGAAAATATCCCCAAAACAATCCAACGGAGCATAGGTGGCAAATACTGCTAAAATTCTTGTTCCCACAACCTTCAACTGTGCATCATTGGGGTAACAATTTTTGAACCAAGGTGCCTCAAATTGGCTAACTTAAGAGAATATTTTCAAAATCTGGGGCCTATGGACTCTCGTAGGATTGAAATTTGGCAAAGTTTATAAAACATTTTGTGATGTAAAAACAATCCTAAAACAGTTTAGGACGTAGTACAAAATATAATAAAACATTTCTTGTGCTGAGGTTTCACTGTGTTCAGCTTTGGCTCTTTTAAAGACAGATGCATCTCTATTTCACAATTTTTCCAGTAAAGACTGTATATTAGATGATCCCTCATTGTTGAAGACATTGAAGAAACTGGTAAGGAAATGATGACAACCCAACAGGGCATGAGTTGTCTAATGAGGTCTAAGCCTATTAAATGGATGGTTTACAAACTGCACTGATATTGATTTTAAATAGTTTGTTAAATAAGCCATAATAGGCTGGATTTATATATTGTGCTAAGCCATGTTTGCCCATATATTAATCTGACTATATAAATATGTCAAAACTGTTGGGATTAGTTCAGTTGGTTCATTTCTGGTTCACTAAATCAGAAATAAAAGCATGGTTTATAAAGTATAGTGGCTTTGCTCACATTGCAAGCTAAACCATGTTTGATATTGATTTAAATGGAAGTGAAATCAGTATTCTCTCATATCTTTTTATTTGTTTAAAAAACCTATGCAAGTGGAGTGAATTAGAAATTCCCCACTTAAGATTTTTCCAAAGCTACTTTTTTTTTGGGGGGGGGGGGGGGGGGGGGGGGGGGGGAGAAATGCTATAATTTTTTTTTTTACTATGTTTGCACAAATTGGCTAATCTGCAGTTTTTTGGTTAATTAACCCTTGCTCTGGGTTTACAATATATATCTAGCCAACTATATATTTCATATATTCCATAAGTCAAATGGGGAAAGTATATATTGTGGTTTATAAGCCACAATTAATACCTTAGTTTGAAGGTATTGATCAAACAATGTTTAACTCAACTAACTAGATTTAAACAAATTTTATATTAGCAGAATGTAAGCCACATCATGGCTTACAAAACACATTGGTTACAGTCTGATTTTTTTTAGGATGTTGGGTGAACATAGCCATTAGGTTCCTTCACAGATCCAAATCAAACTAGATGTATTTATTTTTTCATTCCATAATGTGTAAGGGGTGTTGTTATTGTGTTGTAAAACACAATTTTGTTTTATTCAACAAACTGGCTTGGTACGATAGATGAAACCCAGTCACAAACTTTTACTGTATAATTAAAGCAGTAGTAAAGAACAAAGGACTTACTGTGTGTTCCTGCTTTCCAGCTTATTCCTCCAGACTGTTAACTGAAAAACAAAAAGCTAAGTTCTCACATGTGGAAAAAAAAAGGAGGGGGCATTTCATATTGACTTTTATTTATTCAACTTGTATACCCACCCATCTCAAACAGGTGACTCTGGCAGACAAAATAATTAAAACAACACACACAAAACAAAAAAGAAATTAAATACAAATATCAACCAAGAGATAACTGTTGGTGTCAACATAGACAGGGAATATAGCCATTCACCCACTAGGCACTCCAGGCCCGGACACATCTTCAAGGTCTTCCAAAGGCCAAGTTAATCTCAGAGATACACAGCAGGAAAAAACATACTATCTGGCCCCACCAGCCAAAGAAATTTGGCTGGCAGGATCCATAGCATGCCTGTCCTGCAAGACCAGATTAAACAGGTAAAAGCAACTGGAAGAAAGTAGTCCCTCAAGTAACCAAATACCACCCCCAAAGCAGCAGCCTTGTGTGCCAAATCACTAACCTGTGTATCACACGACTTGAAGCTTCTGAATGCTCTTCAAGGACAGGCCTATTTTATACAGTAGCTGGCCATTAATGGAAACACCTGGCTTTCTCTCTCTGCTCATTTGCTCTAATTGCCTTTGTCTTTATCAGGGCAAAGAGTTACCGCTAAACAATTGCCTAAATTCAAATGAAACCGGTTTGCCCTAATAGCAGTTGAAATGTAGAGTGAACCAATGATGGGAAACATGATGGGAAACTTTCTTGAAGAACTTTCTGACATCATTGTGTCCAGGGAAACCATTGTATTACAAAAGGTGGGGGTCTAAAATTGCATTCACCCTTATCTATCTTTAAAAAGCATTGTGGATACTTCAAAAATCATGTGAAGAAGTTTCTCAACTACAGAATAATAGTGATAGATATCATAGTTGTTAATAGTTTTAAATAGTTCCTTTCTCACTAAATGCTAAATACCTAACAATGTGGTTGACTAATTTGTGACCCAGTAATCTAGTTGATGGTTCAAGATTGAGCAAACCCAGGCAATTTAATTAGGTAATCCATGGATCAACTAACTATAGATTGGGTTGTTTTGCAAACACAACCACTAGCTTGTTTCATGATTTGCTCTTCCCTCAAAATTTCATGTTCATTTTGACTCAGTGTTTGCCCAGAGTTAGTACTATAAATCAAGCTAAGAGATTCAAAACTCTGGCTGTGAGGAACAAGGTTTTTTTTTAATGCACTGGGAAGAGACTCATAGTTGGGAAAAGGATCCCAGTTTGAAGAAAAGCAGGATACCTTGTTTGACGTGTACAGCAAGAATAACTTCCAAGCTAAGATTGGCAGACATCCCACCTCAACTCTTTCTATTTGTATTGCTGATTAATGGTTCTGGGTAAAGCAGGGGCAGAGATAGTAAAGAGAGTACATCTGTTTAGAGTAATGTTGTCAGAGCCATGAACTTATCTGTTCATTAGTACAATTGGCATAACATAAGGACACACGTGCTCTTCTTTGAAACCTCTTGTGAAATCAAAAGGAGCCTGAGAAAGCCTTTTGACAACCCTCTTGTTCAAGCCAGTGGAAAAAACCTATTATAGCAATTTGGATTCCTGGTTTGCAGCTTCCATCTAACCTTGAAGGAGAAAGGTTGAAATGGGGGAACCTCTCTGTTTTCTTTTGTAACTCTATACTTGGTTTCATAACCTTTAGAAATGGTTCGAGCTGGTTGTGCCTATGAGTCAATTGTTGATTCTGATGCCTTCAAGACAATGTTGATCACTGCTAGCTACCTGGACTAGTCCGACAATTTTCTTGGCAAACTTGGCTCTCTTATACAATTTAGTAGTAGGTGTTTAGTTATTAGAGAACCAATTTGTTATACTATAGCGATTAAGGTGCAAGGCTACAAACCAGGAAGCCGTGGTTTTTAGTCCCATTTAGGCACAAAGCCAGCTGGGTGAACTTGGGCCAGCCACTCAGCCCTAGAAAGGAGGCATTAGCAAACCACTTCTGAAAAACATTGGCAAGAAACTTCAGGGGCTGGATCAGATAGTCGCTAGTTGTCCATGTTAACTTGAAGGCACAAAAAAGTCATGGACCTAGTGATTGCATTCCCATGACATAGTCCTGGTACCTAAATACAGGAAGTCCTCAACTTACAACCACAACTGAGCCCAGAATTTATGTTGCTAAGTGAGAAATTTGTTAAGCGAGTTTTGCCCCCATTCTATGACTTTTCTTGCCACCTTTGTTACCTGAATCACTGCAGTTGTTAAATCAATAACACCGTTGTTAAGTGAATCTGGCTTCCCCATCAACTTTGCTTGTCAGAAGGTCGCAAAAGGGGATCCCATGACCTTGGGGGACACGGCAACCAACGGTAATATGAACTAGTTGTCAAGTATCCAAATGTAAATCATGGGGATGCTTTAATGTGCAACGGCCATAAGTGTGAAAAATGGTCATAGGTCACTTTTTTTTAGTGCTGTTGTGACTTTGAATGGTCACTAAATGAACTGTTGTAAGTTGAGTGTTTATTCATTTAACCCATGGACGTCAGGGATGGATGTTCACGGTGATATCCCCTGTACACCACGGTGGGTTCACAAGGCTCAAATGCGACTGACTAGACTGTGGTTCATTATGTCATATTATAGGAACAGAGCAGTACTAAGTAACAAGCTAGGCAGAAGTGAAAGAAGCTGCTTAATTGCAGGAAAGGTTAACAATGTGCCTTTGCCTCAGTCAGAAGTGCTCTGCTCATTGAGCAGCCTGGTTACAGGAAGTCCCAGCCTTATAGGGGAAGCTGCATTCTCCACTGCCAGAAGAGGAAGCATTGCGGTGAAGTCTGCATGATAAGCTGAAAGCCCGAAGAGCAAGTTGTGCCACAAGAGTTGTGTGCTAGGTGTGGCCTGCTTTTGAATTTCTCCCCTCATCAAGTCTGAAGCCCCAAGGGGCGCTGCCGATTCCTTGGGAAGATGTCCCTGTCCTCCGTGTACGAGCACAAATTTGCTGAGAAGCTGACAATTCTTAATGACAGGGGCAAGGGGGTGCTCATCCGCATATATAACATCAAGAAGGTAGGTGCTGATGTGCCCGTGGGGCAGGTCATTCTGTTCTTCGGTCAAAGAGATTTCCAGTTGATCCTAAGGAAAGAATGTAGTAGTGTCTGGGATCTTATAAAGTGTGGGTGTATCTATCTGACTGGAGCCTTTCTCTATTTTGTTTTCTTTCTGGCTTACAGCAAAGGTGGGAGGCCCAAGTAGCTATAGAGAAGATCTGTTAAACTTGGTTTGATGAAACTGGTGGATAGAGAAAAAAATAAGGCAGCCTACAACTACCACCCAGAAACACTAGCTGAAAGAAAGATTAAGAGATGAATGGTTCTTACATAGCACGTATATGGAAGTCTCGATAAAGGCCTGGGTACACTTTTTGTTTTTAATTGAGTGATTCTTAGGTGATGCTTTAGAAGAAAACAGTTTGATTTCCTCCCCCTTGTCAATCTGCAGCTTTATGGTAATTTTCTCCAGCTTCAGACTTGCTTTCCTTCCTGTATCCTATCCTAACCCTTCTTCTAAACCAGGAAGAATATCATTTTCATTATTTAAGTAGTTCATGATTAAAGTAATTCATTATTTAAGTAATTCATTAATGTGATTTGGTGTGCTCACAATATATTACACTAAATGTGATTTGGTGTGCTTTGAGAATCCAATGATTAGTTTATGGTTCATTGTGTTGTGTGTAGCACAAACTTAGACTGTTGGATCAATGCTGTAAATCATTGGTTAATCTGTTGCACATAATCCTTTTGCAGACATTTTCTTCCTCCCTTTCTAGTAGCTCAGACGATGTTGGTTAAAACATCACATTGATAAAATGGTTTGTTTTGGTTTAGTGTGGAGGTGGAGATCTGTGGCCCCTTTATGATTTATGGGCTTCAACTCACATAATTTGAGCCAGCATGACTCAAAGTTATAAGTCATAAAAGGGCCATAGCTCCACACCCTGGTTTAGTGTTTTGTTAGTGCTTATGTTTCTTTTTAACATAAAACATGGATAATCCAGCCAATTGTGGTTTACACAAATTATGGCTTAATGCAATGTGTGAACCTAGTTTGTGGTTTTAGCATGCTGCTTTTTCTAAGCTGTCTTTAATGGCTACATTCTATTGTGGCCTAATGTTCCCTCTATCCAAGCAGGGACTGTTTCTCGCTTATGATTTCTATAATGCTCAGTGACAGAATTAAGATGATATTTTAAAAGCAGAGGACAGAGTGCTACGACTTTCAAATGTTTCACGCATGTCCCAAATTTCTTCAGAACAGCCTAAAAGCTTGACAGGAGATTTTCCATCTTAACAAAAGTCCTGTGAGCTAAATTTAGGGCAGCCTTCTCTCCCCCTCCCCTCCCCAAATATGATATCATCCACATTTTGGAAGTTGTAAAGCTTCTCGAGAAAAGGAAACTGACCACAAGTTGACTATGGATATTTGGACCAAATGAGGATTTAAGCTAATATGCCTTTGGAAACACCATCCCTTCAACTGCTAAGTACTATACCTTATTCTTAGCTGCTATAATTAATAGTGATTGAAGAAGGCTTTAAGAGGAAGGAAAGAAACAGCAGCTTCAGAGTAATTCAGATCAACAGACAAGAAGCCAGTAGAAGTAGTTGCTTCCTCTTCCTGTTTGAAACTGTTGGGGGAGGGCGGTGACATCTTATGCAAATTAGATCCTGCCCATTCCCATTGCTGGTTACAGACCATATTTTGATAGTGATCATAATCTTTCCTTGTGCCATAGCAATCATCTCCCATTGTACTAAGGGGCAATATGCAATTCTTAATACAGTTAAGAATTTTTGGGAGCTATATATGCTACTGGTTCTTGTTTCTATCTATAGTTTGCTATCTGATTGTGGTCAGTGTTGCTCAAAGTATAACTTAGGGCTCATGCATCATTTCACTAGTGTCCTTTTGTAGCCTTCAGGGTGGGTAGGGCTTCTTTTGATTCTCTTTTAGGGTTTTTTTTTAAACTTTACTGGTGATTTAGGGGCCAACTGGATGCTTAAGCCTCACTTTAAGGCAGGGGTCTTCAAACTTGACAGCTTTAAGACTTATGGACTTCTCTTTTTTAAAAAAAAATGAAATAAACTTTATTTACAAAAAATTAAAAAAGCACAAACATACAATTATATAGAAATAAAAAATGTGTAAATAGAATAATAAACATATTTCTGCTACATTTGAAAATAGATTTGATAGTTCATAATAAACAATAATAAATAATAATTGGCAGGACTTGTGGACTTCAACTCCCAGAATTCCTCCTCCAGTCATGTTAGCTCAAGAATTCTGGGAGTTGAAGTCCACAAGTCTTAAACATGCCAAGTTTGAAGACCCTTGCTTTAAGGCATCATTTTTTTTCCATTTAATATTCCTTTATCCCATTCCATTGAATTGGCCATGCAAAATCTGGTGCTGACTTTGAGATAAGAGAAATTATGCACTTTTGTGCTAGAAGGATCAGGATCACACTTGTGTCCTGGTTGAGAAGATTTATTGCTCAATCCTGTACACACAAATCTTGTTAACTAACATATGGCACTAAATTGGTGCCAGATAAATAAGGGTCAATGGCATTCAAGAGGGGTTGGACTTGGACTGTTTGTGGGAAAATAGTGGCTCTAGGCTCATGACTCACTTAACTCCACCCCTCCCAACTCTGATTCCCCTTCTACATCTGCTGTGGTTTAATATATTGTCATATGGAGATGGAGAGGCAGAGAGAATTTTAGGATGCTAGGAAACTACTAAGGATCTAACTCTAGTTTCATTTGCTTGTAGGCTACTGCTCAACTGATGCTATGATTGTAAATAAAACAACTGATAGATGTTTTCAATCTCCATTGATCCCCTTACCTGGAGGGAAGTTAAGCTTATTGTGCTATTTCTGAAGCATTTCTAATGCTTTTGAGGAGTGTGTAATAGTGTCCCCTGTGACACATATGTTTTTGTTGTTGGTTTGAACAACACATATGGAGGGGCCACAGCTTGAGAAAGGCTGCATTTAGCATACCAGTTTGGAGGTTGTCATTTTAATGGATTGATTCATAATCTTCTATTAAGCTAATACCTTTAAAAGGGACTCATTTGCCTGCACTTGGTAATAATTGACCAATTACATTGAGGCAGCTTGTTCCATTTCCATCAAACCATCACAACCTCAAAATAGGAACTAAGGGAACAAAAAAAATACAGAGCTGGCTTTTTTTTTTTTTCTGGTTCCCTCCACCTTGCTCAATTAACCATTGAAAATGAATAAAGAACCATTCAAATGAACACAGCTGGAGAGAAGGAAGAATGTCCTGACAGCAAAGACAGATCAGTCCCCTGAAAATCTGTTTATCTATTGCTTTTTCTGGCAAATGACAATGTTCATTCCCATGTGGGGTTTTTTTTGTGTGTGTGTTCTGCCATTTCTCATTTTCATTTTTAAGGGAAGAAAGAGATAGCTGCATGCTGCAGTGAGTGTGAGATTATGAAAAACCTAATAATTATGCACATAAACAAAATGCAGTTTTGACTTGGCTTTGTTATCTTTGCAGACATGCACGGATTCCCAGACCAAGCTTCCTTTCCTTACGGAGAAGGCAATGGAGTCCTCTATCAAATATATCAACAAAAAGTTTCCCAATTTGGACACACGGAGCAGCACGGTGGGACCCTGAGTTAAAAGCAGGGTAGAGAGTTGAACAAGTTATCCTCTTGGAAAAGAGAGACACTTCCTGGGAGATTCTCAGTCATCCAGGTCACGGTGGTCCCCAAAGTGCTTTTTCAAAAGGCAGCTGGATTTTGTTTTTCCCTTGAAGACGTTTCGCTCCTCATCCAAGAAGCGTCAGAGCTGAAGAAGCTTTTTGGATGGAAGCGAAACATCTTCAACGAAAAAACAAAGTCCAGTTGCCTTTTGAAAAAAAGGACTTTGGCGGCTTCCTTGGAACTGCTATTCTAGTTTCAGTCAGAGCAATTTCTTTCTGCAGAAAACTGCTACCTTCCTAACTCTGTTTTAGTAACCAAGTTTTTACTGCCAAAGTTGGTCTTACAGAAGTGAAAAGGGGAAACCAATATTAGCTGTTTTGTTTTCTTGTAATATATTTCTAAATCATATTCAATAATCCAGTATTGCCTAGCTCTAATCAAACTTAAACTTAACTTCAAAGAATTTTTTTGTGTTATTATTTCAAAAGCAAGTGTAAAAATATGTTAATTTTGAAATACCCTAGTACGAAAGAATAAGATTCTGGAAGAGCAAGGAGTTCTTTATCTATTATGATTGCTCTTTGCATTAAGCAGGGGTCTCCAAGCTACGGGCCTCAGTCCACGACCGGGCCACAGCCCATTTGGAACTGGGCCATGAAAGTGGCGGGTTAGAGCAGTGGTCGCCAACCAGTGGGCCAGGGACCACTGGTGGTCCACGAGAAAATTTTGGTGGGCCACAGAGAAATGTCACCCCTAAAGTACTCCCCAGAGCAATTAATCCAGGTTGTGTGGAAGGCTGCACTGCCCACATGGCCTGTGGGAACACAAGGCTTGCATCGCTTGCATTGCGAACAACTCGAGGTAGTGAGGGGAGGGGGGAAGGGCAGAGGGGGAGGGAACTTGCCCCACTCGCTCCACAGAGCCTCTTTCTTCTGCTTTCGGTTGCCTGCAAAGAAAGCAGCAAAAGTCTTTCTTTGTCTTCTCCAAACTCCGCCAGAAATGAGTCTTTGGGACCCTGCAAGGCATCCTGCTCTAAGAGGCTGCGCCAATGTGAGAAAGACTCATTTCTGGCAGAGTTTGGGGGAGAGAAAGAAAGACTTCTGCTGCTTCTGCTGCTTTCCTTGCATGAAACCAAAAGTCTCTCTCTCTCCCCCCACCACCACCGAGAACAGAGCTGAAGCCGGTATCCTGCGATCCCAAATAAAGAATGATCAATCCGTAGGAAAACTGGGTGGGGAATTTTCCTGCAGACTTTTTGGGGGATTTTCCCAGGTTTTTGGTCCACGGGGTTTAAAATTATGAGTTTGGTGGTCCCTGAGGTCAAAAAGGTTGGCGGCCCCTGGGTTAGAGTGTGCGCACATGTGCCCTTCCATTTGTATGAGTGATGGGCACACCCCATTTGCACAAATGGAGCTGTGCATGCTTTTACTTATATCTGTCACTTGCACAGAATTATTCTCTTTCTTCCCCCACCACCCACCGTCACTGATTCACCAAGCAAGAAAGCTTGGGGAGTACTGCCTTAAGTGGCAAAAAATGGAGTTATATTAAGGCTTACCTATCCCCTTATGCCTGCTTTTCCCCCCACTTACAGCAACACTTGGGTCCGGTACACAGAGAGAAAGCAGATATTTTTCGGACACTCACTGCCTATTATCAGACCTTTGTGGATGTAATGGAATTCCGGGTGAGTATTAAGCCAGAGTTTGACACATGTTGTGTGAAGTTGAGCCTTTTACATTTGCTCTGTTTTAATTAGGAGAGAACCTTTGTTTTATGTAAACAAGTTTATGGAGAAACAGAAAACACAGTAAGCAGTTTTTCTCACTCTTGTGTTGCACTTAAAGACATAACGGCATGTATCAATGGTGTCCATCCTATTTTAGGAATCCTAATGAGTCTTAAACTATCTTTCCGATTAGTAGGTAAATTGTATTTGGAACATGAGTGGACACTATTTTGTTTTAATGTGCTGCAATACTCTCCTTTCTTTGGAAATAAGTCCATTGCACTGACTTCTCACAAAATTAATCTTGGATTGTATTGATAATATTTTTTGAGTTTATGGGGATTGCCTTCAAGTAGTATGACATGGATTCTGTTGTAGCAAATAGCAAGAGCACTTAGACTTATATGCTACTTAATAATGCTTTAGAGCCCTCTCTAAGCGGTTTGCAGAGTCAGCATATTGCTGCCAAAAATCTGGATCCTCATTTACCAACTTCATAAGGTTGGAAGGCTGAGTCCACCTTGAGCTGGTGAGAATCGAATTCCTGGCAGTTGGCAGAATTAGCCTCCAATACTGCATTCTAACCACTGCACCATCACAGCTCTTATAGCAGAAATACTGCCATTCATGTTAGTTGAAGGTGCCCCCCATATTAATGAATGATGGGAACAAGGAGAGAGAATCAAGTCCTCTGCTTTCATGCAGGAGATGGCAGAATTTTATAAACTTGAGCTTAATGTGTATGGTCCAAATTAAATCAGTTACAATGACCTGCAAAACAGGCCTATAACATGGCCACATTGTTTACTTGTTAGAAAATGTCAAAATATTAATCACAAATTTCTGGCTTCTTGCTATTACCCTATCCAGCCTTGAATGAAGTCATATTTTATTAGTTTTCCCATAGAAGTCTGCTTATTGTGGATCAAAATAATATATATAATGATAATATATTATCATTATATCATTTAATATATAATATATACTAACTTGCAGTTAGTTCTGAATATGCTTGGAGTAAAATTGGGCTTTAGTTGTGCTTTCAGCATGCTGGCCAAAGTATACTCAAACTGGCTGACATTGTCTTTACTGCTAGCACAAAATGCTGCATGTGATTAAGTTCAGACTACAGGTCATAGCCCAGCTTATTATTATGTTCATTTGGTTTGTTATGAGGCATATGTACAATTGTACAATTGACATGTAAATAAACAGAGACAAAACTTTCCCATGCTTTAAAGCTACAAAAGTACAAAATTTCCTCTCCTCTCCCCATCAAAATAAAAAGCCCGAATGTTCCTATAGCATAGAAAATGATAATGGAAATGAAAAAGTAGTAATGTTTGCAAGTTTAGATTTTCTGTCTATGGCCAGAAAGCAAAGATTTATCAGAGTAAAATTAGACATGATTCATGTAGCTTTTAAAGATAAATAAGGATATAGTAGCAAGGCTGAGCCTCTACCATTCAAGGCTGGAAGGTTTTTTAAAAAAAGATTTTATTGGTTTTTAAAAACAAACATAAACAAAAGAAACATAAAAACATCAAGCTGTCTTCCATAGGTGTACATACAGTGCGCCGGTTGGTTTACAAATTGTTTTGTGCTTCCATTTCGTAGTCCTCAATTACAATTGCATTACATATAATCTCATATTATCAATCAAAAACTAAATACCGTAATATCATTATTAATCAATCATTTGACTATACTTTTATTCATTCATGTTTTACAAGATAACCATAATTTACTTAATTTATTGTATAACAATTCATATTATCATCCCAAAGGCTGGAAGTTTTGAATCTCCATTTTCAAAAGCATAATAGATTGGATATACCCTACTCTGATCCTGTTTTGACATAGCTGCTTGTAGTTACTACTGTGCCTTTCTCCCATAGGATATCTCTTCTACTGTCCGCCGTCTAGTTTGTGAGGTATAAGAGAGATAAGGCTCCCATACCGCTTTCCTGACATTTAAAAGATTAAAAATAGAGAAAATGAAATAATGTCTACCGTGCTGTCTTTTAGCTGTATAGTTTTGATTAGGTGATTAGAAATACCAGTCATTCTTTCTCCTCTTTCTTGGGAGATAAATAAAATCAGTTTTATTTTTAAAAATAAGAGTATTATTACCTTTATTGTCAAAGTACAACATGTGTACAATGAGATTGGCTGATCCTCCCTTTGTGCACCCCACCCCCCACAACACAACTCACAGTGAGGACAGAAGTCCCTAACCTAGTCCTAATCTTATTGCACTATGTGACCTTGTTGCACAATGTGCCGGCATTTTTTTAAGTGGTAAAAATCTAAAATTCCCTTTTAATTTGGGCTCTGAATTTCAATATTTAATGTTGATAAAGATGAGCAGAGCTATTCCAATTAGGAACAGCAACTTAAAAGGGAATTTTCAAAGTTAAAAAAAAAAAATCCATGCAAACTATAAGATCATAGTGGTTTATTATAAATGACTTGTTTCTAGTCAGAGCCTAAGAAGGAATCCCAAGCTGTGATTACAAAAGTGTTATAATAGAAAAATATTATAACTTCAGGCACATAACCTGAGAAAGAGATGCAAATTGAGATTGAAATATCCAATCCCCTAATTTTTCAGGAAATGAAAACAATTAGTACCACTCAGAACACCAGACCAATTATCTAGTGCAGAATTCTAACTAAATGTTTTTTTTAATCTATTCCTGCAAAATAGAAGGCTCTTTTAACAGATTTTCCCTTTGCTTCAATCCATCATGTCTCCTTCTTAGCCTCCTGGAAATTTCAGCAGCAGACTTCCAGGAGAAATGATATACAGTGCCCCATTTGTTTTCCAATCTCTGTCAACAGCTTCTGCCTCACCTTAGAAGAACGTGCAGATGTCACAAGTCTCACACTATGGATGTGAGCAAGAGCCATGTCCTATTAATGGATGGAGGTGCAGCAGAGGTTGTATTCAGCAGGTTCTGACCAGTTCTGGAGAACCGGTAGCAGAGATTTTGAGTAGTTCGTAGAACCAGTAAATACCATCTCTGACTAGAGGTTTTACCCTATCCTTCCCCTGTCATGCCCACCAAGCCGTGCCCACAGAACTGGTAGTAAAAGAATTTGAATCCCACTACTGAGGTGCAGGCATCGTAAGAAGATGTATATTCTGTGAATGAGTAGCCTGTGCAAGCTAACAAGCCCAACAGAAACCTGTTTTATACTCAGTTGATATTCCTGGTTTGCCTGATTTTGGATCAGTGGTATAATAATGTATTCCATGTGAATCCTGTCCAGAGTTGACTGTGTAATAAAATAATGGAGATAATGCTAAATAATATGAGGTGATAAATTAGTCATTAATTGAATATGCTCATTAATGTTTATTTCCCCCTTGTAGGACCATGTTTATGAATTGCTGAATACCATAGATGCAAGCCAGTGCTACTTGGACATCGTGAGTGTCATTTTAATATAGTACAGAGCAGACATTACTTTTGAGATGGGGATGGAAAAGACACATTTTAGTACTACTTCAACAACTGAATGTCTACTTTTCTAAATTTTTAAATTAGAGGTGAAGAATTTGCAGCCCTTTAGACATTGCTGGCTATAATTCCCAGCTAGCATAGAAGGCTCACCAGCACCTGAAAAGCTTGAGATTCTCCATCCTTACTATAAACTATGAGCATTATGTTTCATCAGTTTCTTCACAGTGTTGGGCCAAAAACAGCTTATAGTTTGGAAAGCTGGAATTTATTGGGCTTGGGCTGAATCAATAGACAGACGTCACAGAAAAGACGGTGGCTGTTTTAGGTACTCAGGTAAAACTCCACTAACCAAACGATTTCATAAGCTTTCTTTTCATAATATAGAAAGAGGCTATCTGACCCACAGATCACCAAATGTTTGGGAAGATGTAATAGCCATGGGAGGGAGATAATAGCCATATTACCATGTTGCCTCAAACTATGAGATCAATCGCATTTGAATAAATAAATAAATATTACAACATTTCCCTGGAGAGGTAAAACCTAAGTCCCAAGGTTCCCAGCTCTTGACTTGCGAACTTTGGATTGGCCTAGGATTGGGATTATTATTATATTCTAATATTCCATTTCTCCATTTCTCTAAGAACCAAGGATACTAGGTCACAAGCAATTTATCAAATGTTTGGTCTTCTCTTATTAATAAAACTGGACCTAAAGATGTTTTTAAAATATGTAGAAACTAAGCCCAGATCTGGTGTTAATTACATTAGCATTCCTGTTAGAGTTGCCTCTGTGATTAAGCTTCTGGAGAGAAGTATTTTATTCCAAGCTTGGAATTAGCCTTGTCATTCTATGGTTCTCTGTTTACTTTTAACTACAAATTTGACTGACGGAGAAATTAACTTTTCTGGCCAGGCCAGATCTGTTAGTCAACCCACCAGTGCTTTTAGGGCTGGGGGATATATTTGGAAATATTACGAGTGTTCATGAGCATCATCGCAAGATGGCAGCTCACAAGATCTGTTAATCAGAAAAAGGGAAGGAAGGAAGGGAAGGAGAGAGGGAGGAAGAGGGGAGAGAGAGTGAAGGAAGGGAGGGAGGAAGAGGGAAGGAAGGGAAGGAGGGAGGGAGGGGAAGGAGGAAGAGAGGGGAGAGAGTGAAGGAAGGGAGGAAGGAAGAGGGAAGGGAAAGAAGGAAGGGATGGAGGGAGAGGAGAGGGAGGGAGGAGGAGGGGAGGGAGGGAAGGAGGGAGGGGTTTGGTGTAATGGATAAGATGCTGACCTAATTCTAGTTCCACTTTAGGCATGAAAGCCAGCCTGATGACCTTGGGCCAGTCACACACACTCAGCCCACCTCACCTCACAGGGTTGTTACTTTGAGGCAAATGGGAGGAGGAAACAGTATTTATGCATGTTCGTCACTTGGAGTTATTTAAAAAAATAATAAAGGGAAGATTTTTTAAAAAATCAAATCAATAAATAGCACGGCGGTCTCTCAGAAGAACTTGGCAACTTCTGCTATTCTCTTGGGAAGTGTGCTGTGCTCAACAGAAAAGAAGGCTGTAGTATAGACATTTGGAAACTGGGACTCTGCTTTCCGGTCTTAGAAAAGAAATGTAAAGTGCTTTTAAAAACAGGGGAGGCAAGAAGGGAATTGATGGGTATTTGAAACTGTGAAACAGCAGGGTATCTGGTGTTCTGCTACTCCCCCTAACTCTGAATAGTCAGGCCTTTCCTTCCAAAACAGAAAAATGAAAACATGCTTAAATATACGGATGCATTTTATTTTTATATTGCTCTTCCTTTCCGTGGACCACTGAAGGAGATTTAAGACACGAGGGAGGAAAAATGGTATCAAAATCATTATAGTAAAGCAATAATGCTTTTTAAAAAAATCACAAATACAAAAATTAAAAATGATTAAGAAAGAACCAAAAGCAGGCAATCTTAGAGGCAGTTTGGTGCTGCAGCACTGTAGTTATTATTACACAAATACTCAGGGAAATAAGCATGGCTTCGATTGGTTTCTAAATGAAGTCAGATTTGGGGCCTAGCTGAATACAGGTAGTCCTTGTCTTAAGACTGCAGCTGGGCCCAAAATTTATGTTGCTAAATGAGACAGTTGTTAAATGAGTTTTGCCTCATTTCACAGCCTTTCTTGCCACCCTTATTAAGTGAATCACTGCAGTTTTTAAGTTAGTAACACGGTTGCTTGAGTAAATCTGGCTTCCCCATTGACTTTGCTTGTCAAGAAGTCACCAAAAATGATCACATGACCATGGGGACACTGCAATGATCTTAAGTATAAAAAATGGCCATAAGTCACTTTTCGCCCCCAGTGGCACTGTAACTTTGAACAGTAAATGACTAAAAGTTGTAAGTTGAGGACTACCTGTATTTATTATTGGGTATATCACTAAGAAGGCTAATATTTATTTATTTATTTGATTTTATTTATTTGATTTGTCAATCGCTTACAAAATAATAGATATAACTATAAACATGAGTAAGAATACAGGAAATAGGTGCAAATAGGGATGGGAGGCACAATGGTGCACTTATGCACGCCCCTTACAGACCTCTTAGGAATGGGGTGAGGTCAATAGTGGTTAGTTTGAGGTTAAAGGAGTGGGGGTTAGAGGATGTAAGCACAGAGTCAGGTAGTGCATTCCAGGCATTGACTACTCTGTTGCTGAAGTTGTACTTTCTGCAATCAAGTTTGAAGCGGTTTACATTGAGTTTGTATCTGTTGTGTGCTCTTGTATTGTTGTGGTTGAAGCTGAAGTAGTCATTGACTGGTAGGACATTTTAGCAGATAATTTTGTGTGCTAAGATTAAGGTGGCGTAGTTCAAGGTTGTCCAAACCCAAAATCTCAAGTCTGGTGATATAGGGTATTCTGTTGCGAGCAGAGGAGTGTAGTATTCTTCTCGTGAAATACTTCTGGATTTACTCGATTGTACTAATGTCTGATATGCAGTGTGGATTCCAGACTGATGAGCTGTATTCAGATTACAGATAATCAGAGTTGGAAGGGACCTTGTAGATCATCTAGTCCAACCCCCTGCCCAAGCGGGAGACCCTACACCATTTCTGACAAATGGCTGTCCAATCTCTTCTTGAAAGTCTCAACTGATGGCACTCCCACAACTTCCGAGGGCAAGCTGTTCCATTGGTTGATTGTTCTCACTGTCAGAAAGTTTCTCCTGGTTTCCAGGTTAAATCTCTCCTTGTTCAGTTTCCATCCATTATTCCTTATCTGGCCTATAGGAGCTTTAGAAAATAGCTTGACCCCTTCCTCCCTGTAGCAGCCCCTCAAATATTGGAAGACTGCTATCATGTCTCCCCTGGTCCTTCTCTTTACTAGACTAGCCAAGCCCAGTTCCTGCAACTGTTCGTTGTATGTTTTAGCCTCCAGTCCCCTAATCACCCTGGTTGTTCTTCTCTGTACTTTTTCTAGAGTCTCAACATCTTTTTTATAATGTGGTGATCAAAACTGGATGCAGTACTCTAGGTGTGGTCTTACTAAGGCTTTATAGAGTGGTATTAGTACTTCCCTTGATTTTGACTGTATCCCTCTATTAATACAACTTAGGATTGCATTAGCTTTTTTGGCGGCAGCTGCACACTGCTTGCTCATATTTAGCTGGTTGTCCATTAAGACTCCAAGATCCCTCTTACGGTTACTGCTATTGAGCCTGGTTTCACCCAGTCTATATGTATACTTTAGGTTTTTCTTGCCTAAGTGTAGGACTTTGCTTTTCTCTATATTGAATTTTATTTTATTAGATATGGCCCAGTGTTCTAGTCTGTCAAGATCCATCTGGATCTTGAGCCTATCTTCTTGGGTGTTAGCTCTTCCTGCCAGCTTAGTATCATCTGCAAATTTGTTAAGTTCCCCTTCTATTCCCTCATCTAAGTCGTTAATGAAGATATTGAAGAGTACTGGGCCTAAGATGGAACCTTGTGGCACCCCACTGCTTACTTCCCTCCATGTAGACTTAGACCCATTAAGGACTACTCGTTGAGTCCAGTTTCCCAGCCAGTTGCAAATCCATCTAGTGGTGGTGCTATCTATTCCACTTTTTTCTAGCTTACTAAGAAGTAGGTTGTAGTCTACTTTGTCGAATGCCTTTCTGAAATCTAAATATATTATGTCCACAGTATTTTGCTGGTGTACTAATTTAGTCACTGTGTTGAAGAATGAGATAAGATTGGTTTGGCATGATCTGTTTTTAACAAACTCGTGCTGACTGCTAGTTATTACTTTATTATTTATTTATGATTTATTATTATTATTCGAGTATTGGTCTGGCAAAAGTTTTGTATGCTCTAGTTAGCAATTCGATATTTCCAGAGGAGAAGCTTCATAAGATTAGATTTACAACTCTTAGTGTCTTTTTGGCAATGCTATTACAGTTTACCAATGTGTAGGACAGAGCATTTGTTGATCGAGATTTGGAGTTGCCAGATATTTGACTATTCAGACACATAATCAAAGTCGCTTTGAAGAATAGTAGCATTGTCAGTGGTGTTGAATAGTTTTATGTCATCTGCAAAGAGGACGCAGTTGCTTATAAGGTGATTGCAAAGGTCATTTATGTAGAGTATAAAGAGTGTGGGTCCTAGAACACTGTCTTGGGGGACACCACTGTTAACTGGAGCAGGGTTTGATATAGCACTCCCTATTTTTACTATTTGTTGCCTGTTTGACAGGAATGCAGTAATCCACTTATGGAGGAATCTGGAAATGCCATAAGAGTTTAGTTTTAACAGTAGTTTGTCATGTACCACTGAATCAAAGGCTTTGCAGGAGTTTATGTAAATTGTGTCTATAGCTTTACCCTGGTCAAGTAGAATAGTCCTTATGTTTTTGCAGTGTAATCTTTTCCTGAAACCAAATTGTTTTTTGGAGAGTAGGTTGTTTGACTCTAAGTGGAGAGTGATGAATTGGTTAATGATTGATTCCATGACTTGTTGATCATTCCCATCACTGGAACTATATGCAGAAACCTCACATTAATACTAATATATTTATCACACACACACACACACACACACACACACATCCAAAGTCCCTTCCAGTTCTATTCTGATTGGTTGCCAGCAGGACTGAGAAACTGTGAAAGGTGTGAGGAAATGCTAGCTCAGTCTTTCCTTTTTCTTCCCTCCAATTCAGTTATATGTATTCTTTTTTTTCTGCAGAATGTGAATTATGATTTCACCAAGAACTACCTGGACCTGATTGTCACCTATGTTTCTGTCATTGTACTTCTTTCCCGTATTGATGATCGTAAAGTCCTGATTGGTTTGCATCACTGCACCCATGAAATGATCCATGGAATCAGGTTGGAGTCTATCTACTCAGGCTAAGATTATATTACCTGGAGCGAGTTCATTGTATTTTTGCCAATTTTGGTGGAATATTTGCTTTCCATGTTGTCTTATTCTGCCAGGAGCATTCATTCAGCTTCCTATTGTGGGGTAGATAAACACCAGTCAAGCACTAATGAATAAAATCAATCAATATATAATCAATAAAATGAGAACTACCTCCTTCAGCAGAAGGACTTGTGCCCCTCACCCCCAGCTGCCAGTCATGCTTTTATTTGCTTCATCTGCTATTTAGAAGCTATAGATGACCCCACATTTCTCCAGCACTAGAGTGTATAGCTGTAGCTAACCCATCCCACCCCAACGTAATTCTAGCATAAAGCTTGATATGGTCAATACATTAAGGCTGACTCTTGATCAGCAAAACTGTACTCTCATTGTCTGGAGATAAGATTATGTAGAAACCAATGTCAAGAGAAATATAATAGGCTGCATTTATTGTTCTAAAATACATGTGGATGAGGGCATGGTGGCTCAGCAGTTAAAGACACTGACCTTGTCAGCTGGCAAACTGACAGTCCGGGTTTGAGACCCAAGTGCTGCGCAATGGGATGAGCTCCTGTTACTTGCTCCAGCTCCCTCTCATCCAGCAGTTTGAAAACATGCAAATGCAAGTAGATAAAAAAAAGTACCACTTCGGTGGGAAGGTAACATCATTCCATGCATCTTGGCATATAGTCATGTTGACCGCGTGACCATGAGAATGTATTCGGACAATGCTGGCTCTCTCGACTAAGAAACAGAAATGAGCACCACCTCCTGGAGTCAGATATGACTGGAGGGGGAAACCCTTACCTTTGCCTTTTTACATGTAGATAGTGTGATGTTAATGGTTAGCTCTGTATCCCATTCTCTTCTGGGAGCTCAAGGTGATATATACAATATTTCCTCTTCAAGTTTCCATACAAGAGTAATCTGGCAAGATAAGTTGGGCTGAGAGTGATTACATGGTCCAAAGATATCCAAAGCTTCCATACTTGGGAGGAACTGAAAACTTGGTCCAATGATCTCTTCCTGCATCCCATGCAGAGCTTCTAATGGCAATCAATAATGTTTAAGCACTGAGAAAGTGATGGATGCAAAAAAGGATAGGGCTCTTGCCTCATTCTCCCCATCCCCAGTACCACAGAACAGGAAGCTAGCAAAGATAGTTTTCTATTGCAAATGGTTTCTGCTAAAATTCCCTCTTCTGCTGCCTTAACTGCTACATCACTTGGATTCTATGAACTTACGTATTGTGATTTGAGAAACATAGTTTACGGCTTAGCATGTTGTGGAAGCCCACTTCATTTTTGCTTTTTTGTTGTTGTTAGTTGCGAAGTCATGTCCGACCCACGGCGACCCCATGGACAATGTTCCTCCAGGCCTTCCTGTCCTCTACCATCTTCTGGAGTCCATTTAAGCTCATGCCTACTGCTTCAGTGACTTCATCCAGCCACTTCATTCTCTGCCATCCCCTTCTTTTGCCCTCAATCTTCCTCAGCATTAGGCTCTTCTTCAGTGAGTCCTCATTAGGTGGCCAAAGTATTTTGAGTTTCATCTTCAGGATCTGGCCTTCTAAAGAGCAGTCAGGGTGATCTCCTCTAGGAATGACCGGTTTGATTGCCTTGCTTTATTTAGTATTTAAACAAACTGTGCATTAGCACATGTATGGAGTCAGATGTTGTGTGAGAAATGTCCAGGCAGCTCACATGAAGGCACTCTGTATTTATCTAGCAGTAAGGTGAGCAGTGTCTGAGGGGGTACTTAAGTCTATATCTGGCAGGTAGTTTTATACTGTAGATTGACTGCCCAGAGTCTAAAATTGGAGCTACACCAATTATTTTGTGTAATAAAATAATTCATTGCTTGTCTGACTTCAGTGATTCTAGCTTCCGTCGATTGGGTCAGATGATCATTGAGTACGAAAATCCCTTGCGCAAACTGCTGGAGGAGTTTGGACCTCATACCAAGGTGAGGTGCTGTGTGGTTACATAAATCTAGTCCTTTGAGGTATATATTCAACTAACTCTAGATAAGCTTAAATTATAAACCCAGTCTTTATGTTTTGGGATCACTGATGGGGTGATAGGTTTTAGCTATTTCTGAGCAGAAGTTATTATCTGGGATTGTGTTTTTGTATGTCAGGTGCGGTAATTACAGAATTATTGCAACTCCTTTAATTCTTTTCCCATTTACTAGTTCTCCTCAGTGAATGTCTTTATCTCCATTTGTGGTGAAGTCTGAGAAAAAAATGAGGATGTGAATGGTCTTTAGTCTTTTATTCTGCTTACCTCCCGGTCAGGTGCCTTGTGTGTCTGCATTATCTCTGCATGTGTGATTTAGGAATGCAAATTTGCCAACAGTCTTGCCCTTTTGCTCTCACTCTCCCTTCATGCTATTCCTTTCTAAACTTGCTAATCATTTTTTTCTTCCCAGACTGTGAGCCATGCACTTCTTTCACTGCACTTCCTGTTTGTCCGTCGAAACCATTCTGCTGACCAGTGGCGAGCTGACCAGCTCTTCAGTTTGATCAGCAATCCTGCCAACATGCTGTCTCCTGCCAGTTCAGACACTGTGAGTATGCATGTGGGAAGGTATTTTCAGGAGTCATCCCCTTGAATGGCTGATGCTAGAGAGGCCTTAGAGATGGCAAAGATCTGACTCTCCTAGTGTGCTGCTTTGAAATTGTTGGTCAAATAAAATACTTGTTGATTAGAGTAATGTAACCCTATGTACATAAAACAGCCAGTGGCTCTGGCACGTCACACAAACATCATTCATTCATGCATGCATGCATGCATTCATTCATTCATTCATCAGTCAGTCAGTCAGTCAATCAGTAATCAGTCAATCTAGGCACCACCAACTTCAGAAGAATTCTGGACAGCTCACAATGTAACAAAGCAGGATAAAAGTATAGTGTAAAGAAATAAGAAAACGATGGACATGGTCAACAATACAGAGAGTTATGCAAACAGACCAAGTCACACTAGCTCAAGGCCTGACAAAACAAGAAGTCTTTAAGGCATCTGGAACCCCATCAGGGTAGGAGCCACTCAGATCTTGGGGGAATCATATTTTAAGGGGCAAGTGCCACAACGGGATATGCTTCTGAAGTCCTCATAGATGGCACTGCCTAATCAAACAAATCTGGAGCATGCTAACTCTTAGATCAGCTGGGTAGACACCACAGAAGATGGGTGGCCCCCGGATTTGCCGTGTGCTTTGTAGGGCTTTATAGGGCACACCTAAATGACACTTGAAGAAAACTGGCAGTGCCCTGCTGCATTCTGGGCTACTGGAAGCTTCCTTGTGTTGTTCTTCACGGAAGCCCTGTGTAAAATTACTAAAATCGTTTATACATGTTGTAATGAGGCTTGGGAGTCACTTCTTTACATGTTTCTTTTTCATTATATTATTTTTGAAGAGCCATCTTCTGTCCATTATTTTACTTCCCCCATGCCCTGAGAATTATTGATAAATGTAACTATTCTGCCATATTTGTTCATGTTCACCCCCTCTGAGGTATTTTTTCCTAGCTTAGAACGCTGATTTATGAGGCTGAGCAGAAATAATAGATTTGCTCAGGGGTGGGATTCAATGTTTTTAACAACCGGTTATGTCGGCGTGGCTTAGTTGTTGGGCATGGCTTGGTGGTCGTGTGACTGTCTGGGCATGGCCAACTCAACATCACTCACATTGAGGCATGCATTTCCTCGCCTTGGCCTCTCATGACTGTAGGGATGCTGCAACAGTCGTAAGTGTGAAAAACAGTCATAAATCACTTTTTTCAGTGCCATTGTAACTTTGAATGGTCACTCCACACAAGCAAAGTACCAGCAAAGGATGGGGGAAAAAAACTCCAGAGAAGTTCCAGAAACAGGAAGTCTATTCCTGCCAAGAATGTAATAAGGGTTAACGGAGAGGCAGTTTCTGTAAGCAACATCAGAATGTTTCTTTCCTGCCTTCCTTACAGGATTAGGCCAGTAATTTCTTCTAACAACCGGTTCTCTGAACTGCTTAGAATGTTAACAACCGGTTCTAGAGAATAGGTGTGAACCAGTAGAATCCCACCCCTGGATTTTCTCCAGATGTCCGTCTTAGGCTCTGTTTCCACTTGCGGTTTTTCACGGCACTATTAAGCTCCATCAACCCCGTCTTAGTTGCACAGCTTATCCTCATCTCATTCACAGCCCATATCATAATGGGACGTAGCCTTAAATTATCACTAAGTCTACCGCTGTAAAAATAGTCCCTCCCCGCTTTTAAACCAGTACTATCCCTCCTCAGGGAGGGACGCAGTGGCTCAGTGGCTAAGACACTGAGCTTGTCGATCAGAAAGGCCAGCAGTTCGGCAGTTCAAATCCCTAGCATCGTGTAACGGAGTGAGCTCCTGTTACTTGTCCCAGCTTCTACCAACCTAGCAGTTTGAAAGCATGTAAAAATGCAAGTAGAAAAATAGGGACCACTTTGGTGGGAAGGTAACAGCATTCTGTGTGCCTTCGGTATTTAGTCATGCCAGTCACATGACCACAGAGACATCTTCAGACAGCGCTGGCTCTTCAGCTTTGTAACAGAGATGAGCACCACCACCCCCTAGAGCTGGAAACGAGTAGCATGTATGCGGCAAGGGAAACCTTTACCTTTATCCCTCGGCAGCTTCAGCCTTCAACCAAAATATATAATGTGTTCATACCCATTAACTTAAAGGTGAGATCAGCTAACACATTGCAGGTACGATCATTTAAGAGCCATGGTGGCGCAGTGGTTCGCGTGCAGTACTGCAGGCTACTTCTGCTGACTTCCAGCTGCCTGCAATTTGGCAGTTTGAATCTCACCAGGCTCAAGGTTGACCCAGCCTTCCATCCTTCCCAGATCGGTAAAATGAAAACCCAGATTGTTGCGGGCAAAAGGCTGACTCTGTAAACTGCTTAGAAAGGGCTGTAAAGCATTATAAAGTGGTATATAAGCACTATTGCTATTGCTATCAAGGGTGTGTTTTGAGACAATTGGAATGTGTGAACTTTTTCCTTCGTTCACATTAGTAGCGAGGTCAGGGGTTCCCAACCCTTGGGTCACAGGCCACTACTGGACTGTGAGCCATTCAGAACTGGGCCATGGAAGCGGCAGGTGAGCACACACACACATCCCCACTTGTGTGAGCAGTGTGCATGCACGCTTTCCTACCACTTACACAGAACCATCCTCCCCACCCCCACCCCTGCTGGTCCGCAAAGCCTACTCTGCCACTGTTTGCCCTTCCCCCAAATGTGTTGTATCTATTAGCACTTTACTTTCTATCTTTCATAGAAAGATAGAACTCTATTTTGGGGTACTCTATTTTTCTTATCTCCATTTTTAAGTGCTCTGGTTTTATTGTATTGCAAACAGTTGCTGGGGTGCATCTATAGTCTTGTTGTACTTGTACAATGACAATAAAGTAGTTCTTCTTCTTCTTCTTCTTCTTCTTCTTCTTCTTCTTCTTCTTCTTCTTCTTCTTCTTCTTCTTCTTCTTCTTCTTCTTCTTC